ATATATATATATATATGTATATGCAATAAAGAACATATGTACATATAATATATACAATTATGTTTATGTTATATTTATGTACAAATATTATATATAAACATAACGTACAAGTAGAAAAATTGTTGTGCATCGAAAATTTGTGATTAATAAAAATAAAGAAAAACTTATACAATACAATATTTTGTAATAAAATTTTATTTATTTCTATTTATTATTATATTGTTATTATTTTTAATATTATAGTATTATTAAAACATCGTTCATAAAATGTGAAAAGATTATATGGCTCGATAAGATGGAAGAGTAATATAATTATGAGAAATATTCGAGTAAATCAAATTTGAAAACTTTTCAAATATAAATTAGCTTATTTTCTAACATATGAATGAATTGTTGGTAGTATATTATTATAAATGGAAAAGAATATAAAATGTTTTTTGATAGAAGAATATATTTTTTTCATTTTAAAATAGGTTTTTGAAGAGTAAATTTGAAAATTCATAGATTAAATTATAAAACTTTTTAATTATATTTATTCAATCTTGATTTTCAAAAATTAAAACTTAAATGATAAAATTTTTATAGTTTTTATTATAGAATAATCATCTAATGATAGTTCATTCCAATCTGAAATTGGTTATTTAGTTATTTTCTTTTATATTTAAAAAATTTTCAAATTTGATTTAATTATTTTTAATAAAATTAATAAAATTTAATTATTAATTATTAATTATTAAAAATTAAATACATTATTATTAATAATAAATAAAGCTTATAAGGTTATTTTAAATCATAAAATTTCCGTTATTTCATTTATATCATGAATTACGAATCACCATGTATTTATTTTTGTTAATGTTATTATATATTATATTTTTATCTTCAGAATTTATATTTTATTATATTATTATTACATATACAAAAATTGAATATTTAAAATATACAGAGAGTAATTTAACTTAATTTGAACATTTTAAATATCTCGCTTTATTTAATTTATTTAATTCGGATAAAACTCAAAGATTTTAGTGAATATCAATTTTTTGATAAGTATAAAAAATAGTTGTAAACCAGCAAAAAAAAAAACGAAATTCAAAACATTGCATATCTTATGAATACTGAATATATGAATATATATATAAAAAAAAAATTGAATGTTTGAAAAAATTCTTGTTCATTTTATAAATTTCTTGAATTTCTTTGGAATCTGCGGAATGTGAAAATAATGTACAAAACTTTTAGACGAATCAAAATTATAATAAACAAAGTTATATGTAAATCTATCATTACCTTCGATTGTTAATTAAAATTGTTTTATATTTTATTTCCCATTGCTCATATTTAAACTCAACACACTTTTTGACTGCTCGTTTTCATATTTTTATATAAGAATATTTATATAAACTAAATGTTTATACAAATACATATTGGTTATATGCTGTCATGGATGCATATGTATAATCAAAATTTATTTATAATGGTATTATTTATAATGATATTTATAATGGTATTTATTTATAATGGAATTTATAATAGTAATGATAGTTTTTTGCAAATTAAGAGAATCTAACTTTTTCATAAAAGGAAAATGTCGATTTTTATAATATATTTAAAATATATAACATATTATATAATACATATAATATATTTTATAATATATTTAAAAATCATTGAAATTAGAAATGCTTAATTTATAGATTTATCAAGAATGGTTTTATTTTCCGAGATTTCAAGAATATTCAAATTTTTTAAATAAAATTAAATATTTTTATCATCATATGATAACAGTTGTAATAAATTCAATAATTTATGATCGTCACAAAAACTTAGAAACAAAATGAATAAAGTTGATAAATAAAATGAGTATAATAGAATTTTTATTATTATTTAATATATTATTCTATATAAATTATTTTTTTTATTATTATATTATACTAAGATTTATTCTAACAAGTGTCTAAATAATTTTTACCAATTTCAACATATTTCTATAAATTTTAAAAAAAATATAAAAAAATATATTATATATTATTGTATATATTATAATAAACTTAAAATAATAATGCATATAAGTTTATCCATTTTATGTGAAATCACAAAAAAGAATTTTTTCTCATCATTTCATCATATTTTTGACTATATAACTTGTTTTATGAACTAGTTATAATCTAATAAATATAAGATCAAAAATATAATCAAAAATTTCAAATAATTTAGGTAAAATAAATTTTGAATAATGAATATAAAATAAAAAATATATTGTTTAAATTATTGAAATATTATATACATACCCATAAGCGGCCGCCAAACTATCGATTCTCAATGAATCAATATATACACAAGGTGTGTGTAAGAGTCTCCATGTGAGTGGATTGAAAAAAGAAGCTTGATACTCCCACATAATTTCAACTGCTTTCGGTTTACCCACCACATTGCCTGGTAATACTATAGTATGAATGCTTCCTGGTTCATAATATTTTGAATGAGAACTAAATAACATCTCTTCTGTTTTTTTTCCACCTTCACCAAATATTTTGATTGCAAAGGTACCAACTTCGCCACCGTGATTCAGGCTTTCATTTGTTCTCGAAATATTAATGGTGATTTTATAATGGTCTTCTGAAAATTAATTAAAATTTTCTTTAATTGCTAATTATTTTAGCATATCAATTTGAAGTTAACATGTATACTTGAATTTAAGTTAATCTTCAATTTATGTTCATAAAAATCATGAATATAAAAATATTATTAAGAATTTTATCATTATCATTATCATTATCATTATCATCATCATCATCATCATCATCATCATCATCATCATCATCATCATCATCATC